AGCTGGGTTGAATTTCATAAAATAAATTCGTTGCATAGAGGGATTATATTGCACGGGGCACGGGTCCTGTCAACATTTGTTTACAGTGGTTAATTCTGTAACGTCAGAAAAGTGTCGTTTCAGCTTTGGCCTTGCAAAAAGGAGATTCTGTTTCCGAAAAAGTGAAGTGAGCCCGAGAACTGAAATTGCAGAAATGATCAGGAAGAAATCCCAAGGAGTTTTATAGCCAAACTGAAAATGGTCGAGGAGAAGAGTGGGGCCGGAGACGCATGGCCATGTTATTGTGTTGAGCTGACTGCATCTTGACTCGAATCTGGGTCTGTAATTCAACAGTTGGTGGGTGTACTAACTGAGATAGGGCCGTTGGCCATAACGTTCCTTTCTGTTTGCTGAAGGTTTTATTCATAGTAAAGGATGCATCTTGCCATTCTCTGCGTGAAGATGCACTTGTACTGTTGTAGTTTCTACAGTGGTGTGGCAAGGCCCTATTTCTAGATGAAGCTCACCAAGTATTCACACTGTATCCACTGCCATAACGTTCCTTTCTGTTTGCTGAAGGTTTTATTCATAGTAAAGGATGCATCTTGCCATTCTCTGCGTGAAGATGCACTTGTACTGTTTTAGTTTATACAGTGGTGTGGCAAGGCCCTATTTCTGAAATAGCACTCACTAGCCCAGTGTTTAAAAAACAAAAAAGTACAGCTGCGAACATAAAACACACTCTTATCTTCTCGTCATAGATCAGCCGAAGCAAGAGCAGCAGCCAAGGGCATCGCTAATGTTCCTGCTCCGCGGTTAACCGTAAGCATTTCAACCACCTTTCAGTCATGGCCAAGGCTAATGTTCCTGCTCCCCGTGTAATGGTAAGCATTTCAACCACCTTTCTATTCTATCCTATCCCAATGCATGGCTAGAAGCTGTAGAAGCTCAGGGCTATGATGCGGCATATCTCCCTCGGGTAATCATGCTGCTTGTAGGGATCTAACTCAATGGGTAGATTGGGCAACATTCAAAACCGCCTTTTTGACAAGGTTTGATGAGGTGAGTGAGGACGCTGCATGCTTTGTATTGAAAATGCGCCATCAGGAACCAGGGGAGGTTACCGGACTTTGTAGATAGATTTCAGACAACTTTGGATAAGTCTGGAAGAGAGGAAACTTAGGAAAGTGTTATTCGAGACTGGTTCATGGATCACCTCCACAACCCGGTCTTGAAGGCAAAGTTAAAGTTGAAAAAGAAAGTTCCAATCAAAATGACCGAGCTGCCTGAGATTATCGTGAAGGCAGTTGAGCTGGATTCCCAGGATACACGAAAATATATACATCGGAGTGAAGTGAACATAGCTGATACAATCGAAGATGTAGCTGCGAAAAGGACATATTGGCTACGGTCGGTTGGTCAGTTTAAATTTACCACCGTCCCGATCCCGAAAACCTAGGTGGACCACCACAGGATCACACACCTCAAATTTCATCCTTTGTCGTTTCTCCTTCTTCATCCTCACCCCCCCCAAGCCTGGTCATGTCACCGCTTTCATGCCTCAGTAGTCTGCGCAAGGTTCAAATGTGCTGAGACTCGTCCTCTTGCTAGCTTGTCTTGCTACAACCAGAACCGGTACGTTTCAGTTTCGATACCAATCTCACGCCCTGGTATGTCTTCCAATCAGAGTGATTAAGATGTGGAGAAAGGCCCTAAAAGAATAGAAAAATGGGGTGCGCCGAGGATTTTTTGAAAATTGAGTGTGAAACATCCGAATACCTCACGTTTAGTTTTTTTTTTTGTCTGTCTCTCTCTCTCTCTCTCTCTCTGTGTGTGTGGATGAACTCCCCATCGTGCGGGTGGTGAGAGTCTCTTTCAACAACGGCGTTTGTAACCATATTTAGCATAACCACCTGTTAAACATTCAAATACCTCATGTTTACAGTCTCTCTCTCTCTCTCTCTCTCTCTCTCTCTCTCTCTCTCTCTCTCTCTCTCTCTCTCTCTCT